AAAACACACGACATTCAGTGATACATATATCAATCTAAATGTTGATTAAAAGACTAATAACTGCTAATTAAAGAAGATCTAAATGTGCATTGAAATAGTGGGTGGTTGGCTGACTAATAAATCTATTAATATATAATTAGGCAACACACTTACTAAAAATAATAAGTGTTTTAGTGGGTCCCTCATTATATACTATTTATGAAAAGTTCATTCCAATTTTTTATTATTTTATTAAATGTGCTACAACTTTCGTTAATTATTTTTTTCATTTTTAATAACAAGTTAATAGTAAAAGTGGACCTAAATTTGTTATTACTATTTATAGATAGTCGTTTTAAAATGTTTTGTTTGTTTTGATTTCTCATTAATATAAAAGTAAATTTCTTTTTACATGTACATGATATATTGAATCACAATGAATTATTAATAGTTAATAATAGTTAATAAATAAGATTACATTATAAATTACAAAACCACACAAGTAAGAAATAATATATTCAAGTGTCAAAATATGATCTAAATTACATGATAAATTCAAACAAACTGTAATAAAATGTGTTAAGATAATAAAACAATTTGAGAAAATTCTTATACCCCAACTATATATATTTGCGCATTTAGTACATGATGTTCCAATTAAACCAATTTAGTTACTCAACTTTTCGTTTATCAATAAATTTTGGTCCACATCGTTAGATTTCATAAAAAAATAATAACGGTTTTAGAAGAAATTCGTTAATACTATGTCAATTTGTTCTATTAATAAAAAAAAAACTAAAATATATATATATATATATAGGAATCTACTTTTAGGCTTTTAATTCTGAACTTTACATTGTTGCTTCTCGAGTTACAAATAAAAAGACACAAGATACTGATATATACTGAATTTTACATTGTTGCTTCTTGAGTAGACACAAGATACTGATATATAATGAGAAATAAAATATACAGATATAAACATTGTATATAGTAGTCTATTTTAATTGCATATAAAAATTATTTATTCTATTTATGTTTCCTTATTTCATTTATTTTTAACAGTTTCGTGCATTTGCACGGGCCACGATACTAGTATATTTTAAATGGAGAAACCAAACATGTAATGTAGCACTCTTATCCTTCTAGATGTGCACTGATACTACAAAATGTGCATAGATGGATATCTAGATGTGCATTTTTTTTTTTTATTTGCAAATTACATTTATGAATAATCTTAATTTGTACTCTTAAATATAATATTTTACCTAGCAAAATGGCATAAGTTTTATTATTTAGGTTATGAGAAATTATATGGTGTAATTTATTTTGAAATTGTTTGTATACTTTAACAATTATAGAGTAATTTTAATAGAAGTGAGAATTGAATGGAGAAGAGAGAAAAGGAAATAAGCATTTAACTTCAAAATCACTGCTCATGTGGAACTAGAAGTTGATTGAATGCACATTTATAATAAAAAAGATATGTCATTACTCTA